GAAATAAACTGTAGTTAGAAAAAGTGTGCAAGAGGAGCGGCTATCGCTTTTAAAAATGGCAAGGCTGAATGAGAAAAATAATAGATTGTGACTCATTTCATAATGTTAACCGTGTATAGTAAATTAGCTTTTCTTATTACTGCTTTGCTTATACATACATTAAAAAAATGCAAAAAACAGTGCCCGTGAAGTTTGGAGAGGAAGTACTTAAAAGTATTTAACGGTCAAGGATTTCCTTATAGAGGGATTTTCACATAAAGCGTAATGGATAAACATAAATCATTGTTGTAAATGTAAAAATTCATGCTTAATACTATTACAGTATGTTATTTCTGAAGATTTCGAAAAGGTTTGTTGATATCTTTATACGTTTGTCTGCTGCTTCTGAACAGATGAACCGATTTCTTCTATTTGAAGAATGTTGGTTTTGCACAAAAAAATTGTTGATAAATAAGTGCACGAGAATCAACAGCAAACGAACGGTTAATTTAGAAATTCGAAAAAGATTGTTAAAGGTGTATGTTTGGAGCACGGCGTTGTACGGATGCGAAACATGGACACTGGGCGCGGCGGCAAAGAAAAGGTTAGAAGCCTTCGAAATGTGGTGTTATAGGCGAATGATGAGAATAACGTGGGTAGAAAAGGTTAGAAATGAAGCGGTATTAGAAAGAATAGGAGAATAGAGGACTTTATGGAAGTCAATAAGATATAGGCGAGATAGGTTGGTAGGAAACCTTCTCAGGCATGAAGGTCTAGTCAGAGACATATTAGAGGCACAAACAGGAGTTAAGAGGGGTAGAGGTAGACCTAGTTTAGATTACTGTTCGCAAATAGTTAAGGATGTGGGTTGTTCTAGTTTTAGGGAAATGCGAAGTTTAGCTCAGGATAGGAAAGAGTGGAGGTACGTGTCCAACCAGCCTTAGGACTAACGACCTTGTGATGAAGATGATGATATAGCTTCACCAAATCAAATTTTGTAGATGTGTCTTGTAGAATTATGTAGTTATTGGGCAAAAATCAAACTTGTAAATTAACGCAATCAAATATTTCGTTTAGGGATGTCGTATATGGGAATCAAAATCTATAGGGTACTTGCCGTTAATATAGAATTATGAAATTTGGCAAGAAGTAATGCTTACAGCACAAGTAAAGGGAAAAATTCGAACTCCGTAAATTTGTAATTACTTTACAAGTGTCATACTGTAATTATACGTTTTGGAGACTGATTTTGGGGGAAAATTTAAGACATATTTAGAAAAAGTAGGAAAAATCTTCGAGATAGAGAATTATTTACTACAAGTTTGTACAGAACCATCAGTGCGCGAGTCACATTTCAACTTTTGAAACTACTTAATTAATAGGTTCATACGTTTAACAAGTAAACTCGAATTACAATTAATGTAAAATAACTAAACATTTCTAACTCTTTAAAAGTTATTATTGTTTAATAAAGATAAACGTTTCAACAAAAGATGTATTGAAAAAGTCGGTAATTGGTATTACTGAAGCACCACCTCCCCGATTTGAAATTTTCGTAGGCTGTACAATCCAGTATGCTCAACAAAAAACTTTATACAATTTTGCCAAAACTATTTGATGAATCGCTCTGAAAATTTTACCATACATTAAGTATTACAAGATCTAACATTTAGGGCAATGACAAAGTCGTAGGTGTATTTTTGCAATATTTATTGTTAATTGAATATTATGCAGATTTTAACCGCAACAAACAATTATATGAATATTAAAAAAAAAAAACGCAATTTCAAAGACTTTTCAATTCCCTACAAGACGGTTATTCCGAGTTGTTGATCTAATACTAGTGGACAAAAATGTGCAAAAATATACATTTTTTGTCCTGTAATTGTTAATAACTAAATTGCCACACTGTATTCTCTAAAAAAGGCGTAGCTTTTGTTTTTATGGCCTTGTACATATTACCGGAAAACTTGTCAGATATCGGAATCTTTTTGAGTCCGTAACATATGCACATTGTATGTTGGGCGCGGAAATCATTTTTTCCCATAGTTTTTGAGGTTCGAAAAAAAAAAGATAATAAGGTAATCTAACCAAACCCTAGCCTAACTCAATTTAACAAAATTATTTTATTGTGGTTATATGTATGCAGGATTATAAAATTATATGCACTTTAACAGTTGACCCTGACCCTGCAGAAAAAATTATTTATAGGGTGTTTTTAATAAATCTCCTAGTTAAAACATTTACATTTAAGTTAATTTTATCATAATTGATTTAGACAGTCTTTAAATGTTTGCAATTTTCCAATTTTTGTATGAGGGTTGGGAGTCCCTTTCAATTTTACTTTGAGGGGTCAATATTACTGATATTTTTTTTAATTAGCCCACAATATTTATCAATTTAAAAATTAATGTGGTACATAATTGAGCGATATTTTTTTTTCTATACGATATGACCTAAAATCAGCCGCTCTTATTATTATTATGTATTGTACTTGTCTTTATGTTTATTTCATGTAAAATATTTAATGGTTACATAAAAATTAGAACAGTGATAGAAAGCAGAGCAGATAATAAACGTTTGNAGCAGTACTTTCTAAGTTGCCGAAATAGATAAGAACTGCAGCTGTGTACGTTGTTGAAGAAGACGATCCTGTCCCTCCACCAAGCATCAAACAAGCACTTGATGCAGGGAAACTATTAAAAAAATACTTTCTATATAATTAAATTGATCCAGCAGTATCTCAAGATATGAGTAAGATACGTAACAAAATACAATTAAAATATTGGAGCAGCAAAAATCATCAGACGAAGATAACTGGCTATACGCAATGTATAAATAGTAATGTTCGTGTGCAAAATGTGTACTATATTGTTAAATGCATATTGTTATAGAATAGTAAAATAATATCTTTTATTTCTTTCCATTTAACGACCACTCTTTATAACGCCGAAAAATGTTGAGTTCCTTAAGTGTAGTTATATAGAGGAGTTTACACTGTATATATAGGGTCATCAGAAAATTGTAGATATAGGGTGATCGAAAATAGGACGCTATCTTGATGACGTAGTACATTAGAACCGACCTATCTATACCCATCAAAATTATCAAGAATGCGAGACATTAAAAAAAAGATGAATGACAATCACCTACTGAATAATCGATTGGTTGTTATACGGTATTATTTCCATTAATTTTAAGTTTAACAGAGAGGGGTATACGATGCTTCTACATAACCTATAAAAACGTACATAAAGAGAGGTTAGGTAGATATGATGTGCAGGACCGTTGCCAAATCTTGGAACGCCATTTCCCGGAACGGAGAACATCAATAAAAGAAGTCGGTTGACTTGAACTGAAAGAGAATGAGACGGCTTGGCCAGATAGATTTAATAAAGGAATAAAAAGTGACAAACACGAGGAAATTCGGATTTACTTTTCGGATTGAATTGAATATTGCACTTAGACTGATGAGAGCGAGGTTTTTCAAAGGGGCTCATCGTACCGAGAGAATTTGCCTCCCGAAATATTTTTATCAAACTAACGGGGTCTAAATTGAAATGATTGGAAAACTCATTATTGACTCGGAGATAAATATTCCCGCTGTGCCAGCCATAAAAGACAGAATTAAAACCGCCTGGAACGTAATTAACGTTTTTGAAGTACGGACTTGGCAATGACTAATTCCGCAGGGGTCTGTTTGTTTTAAATATTGCGTTTATATAACAGAATTAATTACTTTAAATATTGGAGAACCTTCTAACTTTCCGATCGGATAACTTTTTAAACACAAAATTAAACAGATTATTTTCACGTCTGTTATTGAGACATCTTTCGATGGTTGATCGTAACAGAATAAGTCACGTTTTTAGGAAATACGACGGGAAATAAAAAAAATATTTTCTGTCTTTTAATACTCGCAATAAGTCTGAAATATTAATCTGAATATGTAGTGAGTAAAATTTTCAGATTAATATTTCATATTAAACTAACTCACTTCGAAAAAGTTGTCTGAATTTGTATTTATGTTTAATCATAGTATATTCAGTATATACGTACAGTTACTTAGTACGACGGATCGTTAACCTTGTAGGTCGGTAGGTCGTTGTTGCTGTTGTCACCTTTCGTAGTTTAGTGGTCAGAACATTGGTGTGTAAAGCCAAAGATCCCGGGTTCGATCCCCGGCGGGGGTGTGACAACAGCAACAATTTTTCCCTCATTAATTTGGGGTAGCGTGTAGTGGGTATAAAATTCAAAAATGAATTTTCAAATTAATATTTCATATTATTGAGATTAGTTTTAAGACTGGGAATTTATGGAAATATTTCCCAGTCTAGTTATTCCGCGCCCCTAGGTTTAATAAGAGCTTAAGGAATTCTAATCTGGATTCGATAATGAAGAAAATTGGTTATTTGCTCCATATAGGAAAAGTAACATCGTAATGAATAAAAAATAATTCAATATTAATTTTTCAACGAATTTTGGAAGAAATGGATGAAGTTTTTCTTTATCTAGCTTAAACTCTAAGATTGTAATTGTTAAACATTTCTGTAAAAATTCGGAGGTATGGCCGCTATCATGAGGTTAACGTCTGCCAAGTTTTAATTTCTTTAGCAATCTCTTTCGTAATTAAACAAATAATTGACTATTTAATACTAAAAATTCAATGTGATTCACAAATAGAAAATTTACGTTGTAATTCGGCATATATTAATCTTAAAATAGAGACTTGAAACTTGAGGAATATTTCTTTTTTTTTAACTGTTTCGAAATCTAAGAGTCTTTGGGAACATAAAATTTCGAAAATTGTGGAAATAAGGTTTACATTAATTTTATCTCCTGATATTTTTTTTTCTATACGATATGACCTAAAATCAGCCGCTCTTATTATTATTATGTATTGTACTTGTCTTTATGTTTATTTCATGTAAAATATTTAATGGTTACATAAAAATTAGAACAGTGATAGAAAGCAGAGCAGATAATAAACGTTTGTTTTAATGATATTCTTAAGTACTTACCCGCAAGTACACAATTCACAAATACACTGTTCCTTCAGCGGGATCTTAATGGTCTCGGGAGTTGCAGGAATTTTTCTCACGATCTCATTTACTATTATTTTGTTGTCGACGTGTTTCTTTATGTTGGTTATATTTTCTACTTCATTCTGAAATACAAAGTACTTATAGTAGGTTAAATTCGTATACGTTTGGCAGTGGGACAAGTTTTGGAATACAGTAAAAGCTCTTTATTCGCGGGGTATACGTTCCATAAATATGCCGCGAATACAGAAACCGTGGATATGGAATGATAATTAGTATGGAATCATAGGGGATACGTTCTAAGGTTCCAAAATAAAACCAATACGTATCAAAATAAAACCAATGTATTCATAAATTCGCAATTAAAATTAATCATTACAACCAACATTAGGCAAAAGTTTAAAAAATTTAGTGATTTTTTCTTGTTTTGAATTTTGAAATTAGTCCACTCGGTCACATCTTTTATAAAAGCCGCTTCGGCACGTACCAACTGTACATACATTAAGGGGATTCAGTAGAACCCGCGCCGTAGAGTAAAAACATGCTTATCGGTTCTAGATATCATGAGTTTAATATTTGGAACAGAGGTTTGAAATTTTGTAGTAAGATAGATAAAGCTTTGTTCTAAAGCTTGTCGAAGGCTATTTTTAATTTTTTAATTTCTATTTAAAACACGTATCGTACAAGAAGCATCAACTTTAAGCACTTGTAAAAGCTTTTAATGACCATATCATTGAAAACCAAAAACATACCGAGTTAGTGTGAACTTTTGTCTGTTACCATACAAAAAATTACATATTTATCTCGCAGCGGTAAATCACAATGTTTAGAATAGAAACCCATGTTTTCGGAAAGATTCACACTAGGGACGAGNTGATGTTCCAATTGTGTTTTGAGTCGCTTTGGTGTCGTAGACATTCTTCACCAACGTATCCTTGGAGTCTGTTGAATGTCCATAGAAGTCACGCGAATCTGTCGACGTTTGGGCCGTACGAATCTTTTTGGTGTCAACATAATCTTCGTCGACATAATAGACAGTAGAGCTTGTTGCACTGTCGTCTTGCTTTATTTGACTTTCGGTTTTTCTCTGTTGTTCCCCTTTCTGGATCCTACTGTCTCTGGAATCAATCGTGGCAGTTAATTTGACATTTTGATCACTGGGTTTTGATTTAATATTACTGTGCGTGGTATACACCGTGTGGTAAAAGAAACAAAAAACATTATTTTACTACAGTTCTAACGGTCTGGTTTTCAACTTACAGGGAATCGTGTTAAAAAGATTTTTTTTTCGAATTTTGACATGAGCTTTTAGGTTTCGAAAAAGTCTCTATCTTAATATTAATCCATGCTGACATGCATTGGAAATTTCCTATCTGAATAACATTGAATTTTCGGTATTAAATAATCGATTTTTCAAAAAAATTTAAAACTTGGCAGGTGTCAAGTTTGAGAATTTGTCGTAAGTTTTAAGAATTATTGAGATTATACTGTGATTAAACATACATACAATTTAGACAACTTTTAGAAGTGAGTTAGTTTAATATGAAATATTAATTTGAAAATTCATTTTTGAATTTTTTACCCACTACACGCTACCTCAAATTAATGAGGGAAAAGTTGNGGTGTGACAACAGCAACAATTTTTCCCTCATTAATTTGGGGTAGCGTGTAGTGGGTATAAAATTCAAAAATGAATTTTCAAATTAATATTTCATATTATTGAGATTAGTTTTAAGACTGGGAATTTATGGAAATATTTCCCAGTCTAGTTATTCCGCGCCCCTAGGTTTAATAAGAGCTTAAGGAATTCTAATCTGGATTCGATAATGAAGAAAATTGGTTATTTGCTCCATATAGGAAAAGTAACATCGTAATGAATAAAAAATAATTCAATATTAATTTTTCAACGAATTTTGGAAGAAATGGATGAAGTTTTTCTTTATCTAGCTTAAACTCTAAGATTGTAATTGTTAAACATTTCTGTAAAAATTCGGAGGTATGGCCGCTATCATGAGGTTAACGTCTGCCAAGTTTTAATTTCTTTAGCAATCTCTTTCGTAATTAAACAAATAATTGACTATTTAATACTAAAAATTCAATGTGATTCACAAATAGAAAATTTACGTTGTAATTCGGCATATATTAATCTTAAAATAGAGACTTGAAACTTGAGGAATATTTCTTTTTTTTTAACTGTTTCGAAATCTAAGAGTCTTTGGTAACATAAAATTTCGAAAATTGTGGAAATAAGGTTTACATTAATTTTATCTCCTGTTCATAATTTTCAAAAATTGAAGTGAAATACATGCATTCTGCTTTTATTAATAATGTACTGTCAGTGGTAATGGTTATTACTAATTTTAATTAAATTAACTGTAAATGCAATTTTTGTATAAATACTTACGATGTCTTTAATGTCGATAATGTTTTCCTTGATGAAAGTGTTACTGACGTTGGTGTCAACAACATTCTTTACATCGTACTCTGTAATAAGCTTCGAATCAACAATATTTTTCTTGTCAGTTTTTGTGACGAAGGTTGTATCGGTGGTGTCCTTAATATCTGTTTTTGAAACATATTTTTTATCAACCAAATCTTTATCAGTTTGAACGACATGCTTTGAATCGATTAGCTTTACATCGCGCCGATCATCTATTGTAATCTTTTTATCCAAGAAAGACGATTGGTCTACAATAGTCGACGTTTCGAATTTTTCGTCACTGAATGTTTGTTGCGTTTTAGCATCAAATTTATTAATGGTACTATCAACTGGATATGTGGTGGTAGGTCCTGATGGTTTTACTGGCAACACAACCGTTCTTTCGGTTGTTGCTTCACCCTTAATAAAATGATCAGTTATTTGGGCGTTTTGGGACTGAATTTTTTCTTCCGTTGTCGCAAAACTTTTTATCACGACTTCGCTTGAAGAAGTACTTTTATCAATATTACTTATATTTTTTACGTCGATATCCGCCGTTCGTTGGGTTGAAACGGTTTCGAAAGTTTTGTTGACTTTATCACAGGTATCGGAAGTCCGAGAGTCTACAACGAAAGTCTTATCGAGTTTATTAATGTCATCAACTTTTTCTGATTCGATAAGCGACGTTGTGATTTCTTTAACATCGCCTCTCGATGGTTTCCTCATTCCTGGCTGTTCTTTCTTTGGAGTATCGATAAGTGATATTGTGATTTCTGTAACATCCCCTCTTGATGGTTTCCTCATTTCCGGTTGTTCTTTTCTTGGAGTGTCTGGTTTAGTACCTTTTGATGGTGATTTGCTCCTTGCAGAAGTTTTTGACGGCTTGCTAGGAGATGGACTCCTTTCTGGACCTTTTCTGGGAGAAGAATCCCTGTCTTTCTTACTCGTTTGTGGAGGCGTTTCCCATACAAACTTACCATTCCAGCCAGTTTTTCCATAGTTTCGTTCGTTCGAATATATCGTGTCGATCGAGTCGGTCGTACTATGTTGGACCACCCTTCCTGATGTTCCAATTGTGTTTTGAGTCGCTTTGGTGTCGTAGACATTCTTCACCAACGTATCCTTGGAGTCTGTTGAATGTCCATAGAAGTCACGCGAATCTGTCGACGTTTGGGCCGTACGAATTTTTTTGGTGTCAACATAATCTTCGTCGACATAATAGACAGTAGAGCTTGTTGCACTGTCGTCTTGCTTTATTTGACTTTCGGTTTTTCTCTGTTGTTCCCCTTTCTGGATCCTACTGTCTCTGGAATCAATCGTGGCAGTTAATTTGACATTTTGATCACTGGGTTTTGATTTAATATTGCCGGGAACGTTTTTGCTATCAATGTCTGTTAATACTTTAACAACATTGCCGGAGGAATCATAAAATGTAGTCGTGGTAGTTGTGGTGAGAGTGTCTGAAGCAATGTCATGGTAGTTTTTCGAGTCAGTATATGCCTTTATATCTTTGGCGATTGTTGCATCGTCTATTTGTATTTGTTTTTTCTTCGCAGTCTTACTGTCGTCTATCTTTAAGTCTTTTGAAACAGACTTTGATGTACCTTCCGAATTTACAGCCGTTACGTATTTGGAATTTGCCATCGATTGGCCCCCGACTTGGTGATATTCTTTTGTGCTTTCAGAAGTTTTAACTTGGGGCTTTTGCAGTTTTGGGGTGTCTGTATCGAATTTAGAGCTCCTGCTTGCTTCTTTATGAAGATGGTGGTATTCGGAAGGAATATCGGTACCGCTTCTGGCATGTTGTTTATCTTCGAAAGAAGACGACTCGGAACTCCCAGTCTGATGCTGTTTTTTGTCGATTATTCGTTCTTTTCCATCAACGATTTCAATAGTGTAACCACTAGAAGATGTCTGTTTTGATGAAGAAGTTTTCTTCTGAGAAGAAGATGAGAAAGATTTTTCTTCGTGAGTTGACAATTTCCCTTGTGTCGATTGTTCCGGTATGAATTTTCCATTCCAAGCGGAGTCATTTACGTTATAAGTTAAACGTAATTCCTCTTTCGGTTCGGATACGATATAGGTTGCATTTGAATCATCGGAAACGCATGATAAATTGGTGGTAGACCTGTTCAGCGTCGAACTAAGTTGCACGATGTTGGAAGCTTGAGTTGATGCGGCTTCTTGGGCAATAAAGTGACGATACTCTGTTTTAGTGGCACCGGAATCTGCGTACGTTGTAATTTTTTCGCCGCTGCCAGTCGGCAAATTTTCGGTGACTGTGTAAGTAACATTGGAAGCGTTTACCGGCAAATGGGAAACATCTGCTATTTGTAAACTGGAAGATGACGAAGATCTCGAAACGCTGGTCGATTTTGATATATTTCTTGTTTCTTTCGCATGCGAAGTACTGCTGACGACCTTCTTGGTTGTTTTGGTTGCGCTAGAGGACGATGTCGAAGCTGACGCAGACTGTTTCGTTTCCGTGGTTGACGATGACTTTTTTTTCGTTTTCGAATTCGAATTCGCCTTGTTAACCGTCATTGTAACAAAAAAAAAGCACTATTTGTTTAGGTGAATAAATAAAAATAATTATTAATATTATCAAAACTGGCAACTAGAACTAATTGGTACAACTAAACAAACAAATAAACAAACGAAAGCTTGTACGTGCGACAAGGTTCGCGCACTTTTTGTAAATGAGCGCTCAATGTTGGCTTAAGACTCCGGTGAACGTAGATTTTATTGTGGTGGTGGTGAGGTACGTCACGGTCTTGATCCCACAAATTGTTGAACATATATGGCGTGTCTGTCGCTGGACCAGAGTACACCGGAGTACAAACACAGAAACAGCACCAGCAGCAGAGAGAGAGTTAAGCTGGTGCACCCACGGAGACGCTCACGCTCTTCTTTTCACGTAATGACTAACAAACGAGAATTAATTGCAATAAGTACGATACATTATGCAGTTGCTTTCCTTAAGAAATGCTAATCTGCTGACTCTGACCTATAGCTGACTGCTGTCGCAAGACTCAATAACTTAAACATTCGGGTTAACGTTGAAATCAGATAAGTTGTGATACCAAACACATCTCTCATTTTTTTTCCATAAAAAACACAGTTCCAATTTTTGTTATATAGGCAAGTAGTGTGACGTAATTGTCAATGCAAAAATGTGCAACTGATAACATTAAAAATACTTTATGGGTCAAAACGATAAGAACAAAATTTCGTTTCGACTTGTTTTTTTCAAAATATTTTCAACAAAATACTATAGAGCAATGTTCAGGATATTTATTCTTTTAGATTAAAAGAAGGGCATCAACTTATTTGTTTTTATTTATCGTTAGTTGAAAACACAGGGTGTTTACTTTTAGAATTGATTTATGGGTTTCTCTCAAAAAAAAGTTAGACAAAAATCTATTTACTAACAATATATATCATAGTAGTATTGATAAAACATTATTATATGAAGATAAATAAAAATAAAACAAAAATACTGGTATGCAAACGACGGAAGGAAGTATGGAAAGAGCAAATATAAAGATAGGAGACGAAAAATTAGAAGAAGTGGCTGACTTTAGGTATCTACCTGTAGGAAGTCAGATAAGTCAGGACGGAAGGAGTTGTAGGGATATAAAGCAGAGGATAGCACGCACAGGGTCGAGTCACCTTCATTAAAAAGAAGTTACTTTTATACTAGCAAACGGTTAATTTAGAAATTCGAAAAATATTGTTAAAGGTGTACGTTTGGAGTGCAGCACTGTATATACGGAATCGAAACATTGACGGGGTGCGCGACGGAAAAGAAAAGGTTGGAAGCATTCGAAATGTGGTGTTATAGGCGAATGGCGAGGATATCGTGGATAGTGAAAGTTAGAAATGAAGAGGTGTTAGAATGAATAGGAGAAATGAGGACTCTATGGAAGTCAATAAGAAATAGGCGAGATAGGCTTGAAGGGCTAGTCAGAGACATGTTAGAGGCAGAAACAGAAGTTAAAAGGAGTAGAAGTAGACCTAGATTAGATTATAGTTAAGGATGTGGGGTATTTTAGTTTTAGGGTTAGCTCAGAATTGGAAATAGTGGAAGCGCGTGTCCAACCAGTCTTACGACTGATGACTTTATGATGATGATGAATCATAGTAATTTTATAAACTAAACGCATGAGATTTTTGTTTTAAACAAATTTTTCTCATTTTCTGTTTGTATTTATTAAATTAAAATAAACATACTCTAAATATTTGGAAGGCATAAATTTTGATAATTAAATTTTCATTCATTTTATGGCACGGTTTCCATTAAAAAATCTAGACATTAGGATTACATATATCAGAAAAACGGGATCAGTATCACTCATATGATGATGTTATTTATTATTAGGATGTCTTTTTTTTAATTCTTGACCATTTTCAGTACTACTTATCTAATGACGATATAACAAAAGGGCTACTTTAAAATTAAGAAAAATTATCAATTGTTGTTTACTTAACTTAAATTACAACAGAAATTTTAATAATGTGCCCTTAATAGCAGAATAACCACACTTTATAAATCTATCAGCGACGTTTGAAAAACGTTCCTAAAAAAAAACATTATAACGTAGCTGTCGGTGCGTCAAGGCCCATGATTTGAAACTCCTGGCTCACCCTCAATACTAATTATTGATGCACCTATTACTTTGTTTAAGTCAAAAACTTTTGCAATTTTTCTCTTCTTGAGCACGGTTACTAAATTACGTATCCAATAAAATCTCATTTCCTGACCGAAGAGTGGTGAGAAATAGCAAAAACACTCAAGGAGGAAGCGGTCTGAGACTTGTTTTCTTGCTGCTGTGCGTAATTTATTAATATCATCACGGAACCCAAGGCGTTTTGGGTTATATGGAACATAGAATTAACTTAGGCTGAATTTTCTAATTTGATGCCCGCCTTTATCTTTATAAGTAGTAATATTTTGAAAATTCAAAATAATGGTTTCTGTGATTTTCTTTTATGATTTTCTCATGTGTGATGCTACAATTTTCATAAAATTGTTAGTATACAGGGGCTGCTTAAAACATATTTTTTAAATTGAACACCCAGCATATTTTCAGATATTTGAAATTTCCTTTTTTCTCTGATTTAGAAAATATATAATTGTCATATGTTTAGATAAATAATAATATACCAAACTATAACAAATAAATTGATGTTCGCCACAATAAAAATTACATAAACCATTATTTTAAATTTTCAAAATATTCTCACTTATGAAGATAAAAGGGGGCATCAAATTAGAAGATTCACCCTGTACAACGGTGTAATATACCACTTGCCACGCAAAAAACAGCTGGCTACGTCCCTAGAAAAACTAAATAATTCAATATGCTTATTTTCTTTCTTACTTTTCAGAAATCATACATAGATAATTTTCGAGTAATTAATAACAGCCACAATTCGGAATGAAAATAAGAAATAAATTATTTTTTCAGCTGATTTCAAAGAAAAGGCAGCATCTAAATTCAACAATATTTTTTGGGTACATTACGTGATTTTTTTTCACTAATTGTGAACAGATCGTAATGATTCCTTTTTTACTGAATATGTTAATTTGTAATGTTTCTCAAGGGCGATCCGTTTGAAGAAAGTATAAAACCTATTCCTCGTTGTTTTGATCTTTTAAATTTGTACTTACAGGCAAAGTTTTTGTATATTAAATTATCTTATTTTATAATAGATATAACCAATTTGCTATTTCATCCTTTTCCAATGGCAAAATATAGGGTAGGTTAGGTTTGGTTAGGTTATTAAATGCCAAATTGTTAAAATTATAGAAGAAATTTTTGACTTAGGAAAATGANCGCTCGTTTGAATATATAGTGTCGATTGAGTCGGCTACAGTATGTTGGGCCACCCTTCCTGATGTTCCTATTGTGTTTTGGGTCGCTTTGGTGTCGTAGACATTCTTCACCAACGTACCCTTGGAGTCTATTGAATGTCCGTAGAAGTCACGTGAATCTGTCGACATTTGGGCCTTATGGATTGTGTTGGTATCCACATAATCTTCGTCGACGTAATGGGTAGTGGAGCCTGCATTTACATTTTGCTTTATTTGGCTTTCGGTTTTTCTCTGTTGCTTCCCGTTCTGGATTTTACTCTCTCGAGAATCAATTGTGGTAGTTAATTTGCCGTTTTGATCACTCAAATTTGATTTGATGTCACCAGTATCATTATTGTTATCGATATTTGTCAGTACTTTAATAGCATTGCCAGCGGAATCAAAACGCGTAGTCGTGGTGATTGTGTGTGAAGCAGTGTCATGATATTTTTTCGAATCCGTATATGCCTTAATATTACTAGAAGATGTCTGTTTTGGTGAAGACGAAGAAGAGTACGACTTGTTTTTGCGAGTTGACGATTTCTCTTGCGCTGATTGCTCCGGTACGAATTTTCCGTTCCAAGCAGAATCATTTACGTTGTAAGTTAAACGTAATTCTTCTTTCGGTTCGGATACAATATAAGTTGCATTGGAATCGTCGGAAACGCACGATGAATTGGTGGTAGACTTGTTCAGTGTCCTACCTAATTGCTTGATGTTAGAAGATTGACTTAACGCAACCTCTTGGGCAATGAAGTGGCTGTCTCGCCTTATTTGACTTTTGAATTTATTAGCGTCATCAACTTCTTTTATTTATTGTTTGAATTTCTTGTTTGTTTTAAAAATATGAAATGCACATAGTACCTATAATTTTAGCTTTTTTCTATTTGAAATAAGAGTTACTAAAATTGAATATGTTTTATAAATATTTTTGTTGAAAATGATGGTCTGATGGTTTTCTGGGAGATGAATTTCTTTCTTAACATTTTTTGGGGGATGCATCCCTGTCCTTTTTCGTTTGTGGAGGCGTTTCCCATACGAACTTACCATTCCATCCAGTTTTTCCATAGTTTCGTTCATTCGAGTATATCATGTCGATTGAGTCGGTTGCACTGTGTTGGAACACCCTTCCTGATGTTCCTATTACGTTTTGGGTAGCTTTAGTGTCGTAGACATTTTTCACCAACGTGTTCTTGGAATCAACGGAATGTCCATAGAAGTCACGCGAATCTGTCAACATTTGGGCGTTATGGATTTTTTTGGCATCCACATAATCTTCGTCCACGTAACGGGCACTGGAGCTTGCACTGTCTCGCCTTATTTGACTTTTGAATTTATTAGCGTCATCAACTTCTTCTATTTCAATAAGTGATGTGTTTTCATTAATGCTTCCTCCAGATGTTTTAGATGGTTTGCAAGGAGATGGACTTCCGTCTGACCCATTCTTGTGGGATACTTCCACGTCCTTATTTTTCGATTGCGGAGGCGTCTCAGATACGAACTTACCATTCCATCCAGTTTTTCCATAGTTTCGTTCATTCGAGTATATCATGTCGATTGAGTCGGTTGCACTGTGTTGGAACACCCTTCCTGATGTTCCTATTACGTTTTGGGTAGCTTTAGTGTCGTAGACATTTTTCACCAACGTGTTCTTGGAATCAACGGAATGTCCATAGAAGTCACGCGAATCTGTCAACATTTGGGCGTTATGGATTTTTTTGGCATCCACATAATCTTCGTCCACGTAACGGGCACTGGAGCTTGCACTGTCTCGCCTTATTTGACTTTTGAATTTATTAGCGTCATCAACTTCTTCTATTTCAATAAGTGATGTGTTTTCATTAATGCTTCCTCCAGATGTTTTAGATGGTTTGCAAGGAGATGGACTTCCGTCTGACCCATTCTTGTGGGATACTTCCACGTCCTTATTTTTCGATTGCGGAGGCGTCTCAGATACGAACTTACCATTCCATCCAGTTTTTCCATAGTTTCGTTCATTCGAGTATATCATGTCGATTGAGTCGGTTGCACTGTGTTGGAACACCCTTCCTGATGTTCCTATTACGTTTTGGGTAGCTTTAGTGTCGTAGACATTTTTCACCAACGTGTTCTTGGAATCAACGGAATGTCCATAGAAGTCACGCGAATCTGTCAACATTTGGGCGTTATGGATTTTTTTGGCATCCACATAATCTTCGTCCACGTAACGGGCACTGGAGCTTGCACTGTCTCGCCTTATTTGACTTTTGAATTTATTAGCGTCATCAACTTCTTCTATTTCAATAAGTGATGTGTTTTCATTAATGCTTCCTCCAGATGTTTTAGATGGTTTGCAAGGAGATGGACTTCCGTCTGACCCATTCTTGTGGGATACTTCCACGTCCTTATTTTTCGATTGCGGAGGCGTCTCAGATACGAACTTACCATTCCATCCAGTTTTTCCATAGTTTCGTTCATTCGAGTATATCATGTCGATTGAGTCGGTTGCACTGTGTTGGAACACCCTTCCTGATGTTCCTATTACGTTTTGGGTAGCTTTAGTGTCGTAGACATTTTTCACCAACGTGTTCTTGGAATCAACGGAATGTCCATAGAAGTCACGCGAATCTGTCAACATTTGGGCGTTATGGATTTTTTTGGCATCCACATAATCTTCGTCCACGTAACGGGCACTGGAGCTTGCACTGTCTCGCCTTATTTGACTTTTGAATTTATTAGCGTCATCAACTTCTTCTATTTCAATAAGTGATGTGTTTTCATTAATGCTTCCTCCAGATGTTTTAGATGGTTTGCAAGGAGATGGACTTCCGTCTGACCCATTCTTGTGGGATACTTCCACGTCCTTATTTTTCGATTGCGGAGGCGTCTCAGATACGAACTTACCATTCCATCCAGTTTTTCCATAGTTTCGTTCATTCGAGTATATCATGTCGATTGAGTCGGTTGCACTGTGTTGGAACACCCTTCCTGATGTTCCTATTACGTTTTGGGTAGCTTTAGTGTCGTAGACATTTTTCACCAACGTGTTCTTGGAATCAACGGAATGTCCATAGAAGTCACGCGAATCTGTCAACATTTGGGCGTTATGGATTTTTTTGGCATCCACATAATCTTCGTCCACGTAACGGGCACTGGAGCTTGCACTGTCTCGCCTTATTTGACTTTTGAATTTATTAGCGTCATCAACTTCTTCTATTTCAATAAGTGATGTGTTTTCATTAATGCTTCCTCCAGATGTTTTAGATGGTTTGCAAGGAGATGGACTTCCGTCTGACCCATTCTTGTGGGATACTTCCACGTCCTTATTTTTCGATTGCGGAGGCGTCTCAGATACGAACTTACCATTCCATCCAGTTTTTCCATAGTTTCGTTCATTCGAGTATATCATGTCGATTGAGTCGGTTGCACTGTGTTGGAACACCCTTCCTGATGTTCCTATTACGTTTTGGGTAGCTTTAGTGTCGTAGACATTTTTCACCAACGTGTTCTTGGAATCAACGGAATGTCCATAGAAGTCACGCGAATCTGTCAACATTTGGGCGTTATGGATTTTTTTGGCATCCACATAATCTTCGTCCACGTAACGGGCACTGGAGCTTGCACTGTCTCGCCTTATTTGACTTTTGAATTTATTAGCGTCATCAACTTCTTCTATTTCAATAAGTGATGTGTTTTCATTAATGCTTCCTCCAGATGTTTTAGATGGTTTGCAAGGAGATGGACTTCCGTCTGACCCATTCTTGTGGGATACTTCCACGTCCTTATTTTTCGATTGCGGAGGCGTCTCAGATACGAACTTACCATTCCATCCAGTTTTTCCATAGTTTCGTTCATTCGAGTATATCATGTCGATTGAGTCGGTTGCACTGTGTTGGAACACCCTTCCTGATGTTCCTATTACGTTTTGGGTAGCTTTAGTGTCGTAGACATTTTTCACCAACGTGTTCTTGGAATCAACGGAATGTCCATAGAAGTCACGCGAATCTGTCAACATTTGGGCGTTATGGATTTTTTTGGCATCCACATAATCTTCGTCCACGTAACGGGCACTGGAGCTTGCACTGTCTCGCCTTATTTGACTTTTGAATTTATTAGCGTCATCAACTTCTTCTATTTCAATAAGTGATGTGTTTTCATTAATGCTTCCTCCAGATGTTTTAGATGGTTTGCAAGGAGATGGACTTCCGTCTGACCCATTCTTGTGGGATACTTCCACGTCCTTATTTTTCGATTGCGGAGGCGTCTCAGATACGAACTTACCATTCCATCCAGTTTTTCCATAGTTTCGTTCATTCGAGTATATCATGTCGATTGAGTCGGTTGCACTGTGTTGGAACACCCTTCCTGATGTTCCTATTACGTTTTGGGTAGCTTTAGTGTCGTAGACATTTTTCACCAACGTGTTCTTGGAATCAACGGAATGTCCATAGAAGTCACGCGAATCTGTCAACATTTGGGCGTTATGGATTTTTTTGGCATCCACATAATCTTCGTCCACGTAACGGGCACTGGAGCTTGCACTGTCTCGCCTTATTTGACTTTTGAATTTATTAGCGTCATCAACTTCTTCTATTTCAATAAGTGATGTGTTTTCATTAATGCTTCCTCCAGATGTTTTAGATGGTTTGCAAGGAGATGGACTTCCGTCTGACCCATTCTTGTGGGATACTTCCACGTCCTTATTTTTCGATTGCGGAGGCGTCTCAGATACGAACTTACCATTCCATCCAGTTTTTCCATAGTTTCGTTCATTCGAGTATATCATGTCGATTGAGTCGGTTGCACTGTGTTGGAACACCCTTCCTGATGTTCCTATTACGTTTTGGGTAGCTTTAGTGTCGTAGACATTTTTCACCAACGTGTTCTTGGAATCAACGGAATGTCCATAGAAGTCACGCGAATCTGTCAACATTTGGGCGTTATGGATTTTTTTGGCATCCACATAATCTTCGTCCACGTAACGGGCACTGGAGCTTGCACTGTCTCGCCTTATTTGACTTTTGAATTTATTAGCGTCATCAACTTCTTCTATTTCAATAAGTGATGTGTTTTCATTAATGCTTCCTCCAGATGTTTTAGATGGTTTGCAAGGAGATGGACTTCCGTCTGACCCATTCTTGTGGGATACTTCCACGTCCTTATTTTTCGATTGCGGAGGCGTCTCAGATACGAACTTACCATTCCATCCAGTTTTTCCATAGTTTCGTTCATTCGAGTATATCATGTCGATTGAGTCGGTTGCACTGTGTTGGAACACCCTTCCTGATGTTCCTATTACGTTTTGGGTAGCTTTAGTGTCGTAGACATTTTTCACCAACGTGTTCTTGGAATCAACGGAATGTCCATAGAAGTCACGCGAATCTGTCAACATTTGGGCGTTATGGATTTTTTTGGCATCCACATAATCTTCGTCCACGTAACGGGCACTGGAGCTTGCACTGTCTCGCCTTATTTGACTTTTGAATTTATTAGCGTCATCAACTTCTTCTATTTCAATAAGTGATGTGTTTTCATTAATGCTTCCTCCAGATGTTTTAGATGGTTTGCAAGGAGATGNGACGCTCACGCTTTTCTTCGTATAATGACTAACACGACAACTCTTAGTTGCAGTAAATATGAAACAATATGTACTTATTAAAAAACTTTCTATTTAAAAAATTAAGAGTTGCAGTTGTCTGAAAAAATGGAGTGACGTATCATCATCATATAAGCATGTCATTTATTAAAAAGTGTTTCAATGCTTGTTCATTTCATCTAATAATAACGATATAAGAATAAGAGATACTTACTGAACTGAGTACTTTTTGTAATAATCATTCAAAATAGCCGACATGAATAATACTTTTCGTAAACAAGTAAATTACTAATGCAAAACTGAGTTGGCTTGTTTTCTGCTGAAGGTTATTCATAATGCAAAATATAAATATAGCACAAAATAAACATTGTACAAACATGTAGTAACCCACAACTATAGTTTGTTCTTGTAGAAAATGTTACTTTGGATAGACTGGAAAAGCCATTTAAAAATAGGAAATTCTAATTAAGTATGTAAATTGTATACTTATAGCAATTCGGATATAGATAGTATACAGTGTTTGCGTATGTGACAGGTGCACTTCCTATTGTGTTTTGGGTCGCTTTGGTGTCGTAGACATTCTTCACCAACGTACCTTTGGAGTCTATTGAATGTCCGTAGAAGTCACGCGAATCTGTAGACATTTGGGCCTTATGGATTGTGTTGGTATCCACATAATCTTCGTCGACGTAAATTTATGCACGCATAACTTAATCAGGTTGAAGTTTTCGAAAAAAAAAAAAAGTGCACGATTACGAGAAAACATTTAGTTTTTTAGATTTTATTCTAAAGTTGAATTGACTATTTTTTATTGTAAGTAATTCAAGATATGTAGTTTCTTACCTATTATTGCAGTAATGTTTTTCGTATACAAGTAAAACACTAATGCAAAATTGAATTGGCTTGTAGTTAGTGAAAGTTATTTATTGTTCTTATAACATAAATAAAATACGAAGTAAACTTTTTACAAACAATATATTAAATATATGATACAATTTGTTGTTATATCGAAAAACTCTATACTAGGCAAAGCAGAAAATAATTTAAATGTAGCTACTGAACGGTTCAGTTGAAGTTTTGAAAATAAAAAGCAGAATTCTAATTACTCAAATTATTTGTTAATAGAAANAGATGGAACACCCTGTATATATTTGCATCGTTATAGTGTATTAATTAATCTGCAACAATACATTTTTGACCTGATAAAATGTTATTTTAACTAGGATTATTCATATATATTAGTTTATCGACTTACCATGAGAGAATGGAAAAGTTACGTAAGCATTCAAAAACGTGATTTTTTTGAAATAGTAAAGGGAACTACGTGCATTAAGTTTAATGTAATAATTTTTGATGTTAACCACCACGTAGCAAAATTAAAAATGAACTCTAAAGCAACGGTTATTTAAATATTGATTCCTAATATCAAAAAAAAATCATACAATAGAACATAATTAGGTTGATTGATACCGCAAAATTCGTTAAGTAAGAATTCTTTTAGACGAGTTAAATTTCTGCAGCAGAATTTTTATTTAACTAATAAAGGAAACGAAATTTTCTATTTGTTTTCAAAGAAAATTATTTATCACAACTGTAGCTAAAATAGTTTGTGGCGATTTGATAGTTTTTAAGAAAGTAATTAATTTTTTAGAGTAAGGTATTGAGTGTGTGGTTGTATATATTTTTTGGTATGTCTGTGATGCATGTATTTGTGTGTTTGGAATTTCTGTATTATTGTATTATTATTGTGTAAATATTCTTTTCTTATAATTCTATTTTTATACTTACTCTATTCTATACCTACTCTATACCTATTCTTCAGCTAAACGACTATTTAATTGCCTACGTACTTTGCTATCATCCCTTTTAACAATTCAACTCTGTATACTAACTGCATGACGTCTATAATTCTTACTTTTCCTAATTGCAGTTTTATGGTCAGTTTCTTCGGTGATTTGGGGTCAAACTTAATTTCTAGGTATTTCTTCTAAACTAAATTTCCAGGTTTTACTACCATCTTATTGGTTCCCTACTTTAATTAACTTATTTCTAACTCCTCCTTATCACCCTTCTTACGATCTCTTTTTCAAAAACTAAAATCAGTTCTGACTTATCCTTCCTAATTTCAACTTCACCATTCTACATTCTTAATTCTAGTCTTCATTTTTTTGTTCTTGTTTATTAAAGTTGTTATCGTATTCTGCGTTCTATTATTTAACCACCTCAACATCAGGACACACAACGAGACTAAAGTGGTGACCCCGTAGTTTTTTTTGTGCGTCAGTGTTGTGTTAAGTCCTAACTGTTAATAATAGTGAGAGGTGACAGACAATTGTAAGTACTTTTTTGAGTAACATTTTAGTGTAACATCTTGTGCGGTAGATTTAAGTGTAAATAGACTAGATTTTAGTGACCGTAATATAAGCGAAATGGCTAATTCAGAAGAACAATTAAACGTGCTGGAAAATGGCTTCGCAATTAGTCACGTCGCAGTGCGTATTCCGCCATTTATCCCGAACGATCCAGAACTATGGTTTTCGATGGTCGAAGAGAACTTTACAACAGCCGGTGTGACAAAGGATGCGACCAAATTTGGGTACATTACCGGAGTGTTAGAACCGCGGTATGCGTTAGAAGTGCGCGATATAATAGTGAACAAACCCACGACCAACGCGTACGGTGTGTTAAAATCTGAACTCATAAAACGCCTCAGCACGTCCCAAGAGCAAAAGACGCGGCGCCTGCTAGAATTGGAAGAAATGGGCGGCAGGAAGCCTTCCCAATTTCTGCGCCACTTGCAAACTCTCGCTGGTCCGACCGTTCCCGACACCATGCTGCGGACATTGTGGTTTGCCCGTCTTCCGCCCAATATGCAAGCTATCCTAGCGGCACATCGAGACTTGTCTCTTGTCAAAATAGCCGAATTAGCGGACTCCATTGCTGATCTAACCGACCATCGCCCACGCATCGCGGAAGCAACCCCTTCGGCTGGTGATGTCCTAGCCGCTCAACTGCAACAATTAACGGTCACACTCCAACAACAAATTTCATCCCTGCGTCAAGAAGTGTCAGAATTAAAAAGTCAGACCCGTTTCCGAGAAAGGTCACGCTCCCGTCCACGATCGAGATCCCGGAACCGCCACCATCCCGATGGACTCTGCTGGTATCATCGCAGATATAGTTCCCGCGCAAATAAATGTACACAGCCATGTTCATTTATAACAAATGCATGTAACCAGGGAAACGCCAGCGGCAGTCGTTAATGGCGGCAAACGACAGCCAATTTAACATTTCACGCCGCATTTTTATCACCGACTCAGGCACGAACATGCAATTTTTGGTGGACACGGGCGCAGATCTTTGTGTATTTCCTCGTTCCCAAGTACGTGGTCCTCGAGAAAAATCCTCGTACGAGTTGTCTGCTGCGAATGGAACAACCATCGCTACTTATGGTACCATTACGCTGACCCTCAACTTCGGACTTCGCCGGGACTTTTCCTGGAGTTTCGTGATAGCGGACGTGACTAAACCTATAATCGGTGTAGATTTTCTCGCATTTTACAATTTATTGGTAGATGCTANTATATATGTTAGGCCCGAAGACCGAAAACGCTCAGTGGCCGGAAAAAACGGCCACAACGCGTTCTGGCTGCCTTCAAACGCACAGAACGCGTTCTGGCTGTTTTTAAACGCTCGCAACGCGTTCTGGTAACTGTTAAACAGCCGGAACGCGTTTTGTCAATTGTTGTCGGGTATACAGTTAAAATTTGAGTGTGTGAATATGAAAGTGAGGTACCAGCGGACAAAATCTCCTTACGATCAGCATCAACTCAATCATCAGGAAGCAAACAAGGTTTTGTTTTTTGTCAGTGCAAACGAATGTGCATTGATAAAAAATGCAAGTGTCGCAATTTAAATGTACTACGTAATTCGAAATGTAATTCAAACAGTTCTTGTAAAAATAAGTAATATACTTATATAAAGTACTTGAAAGTTCGAAAAAACCCCTCGTTTGTATTTAATTGTGGTTATCAAAAATTAAATCGTTTCTAATAAAGTAAAAAAGGCATGAATTTAAGTTTGCCTTGTATTCCACACTAAGTTAAATGTGTCGAAATTCATTTGTTTAATGAATACCTTTTCGCTTTTTCACTCATTCATTCGTATATCATATGCTCGACAATATAAGTGTTCAGTGTAACTTTCTTCCTAGAACTGAAAAACAATTATAAGAAATTTAATATTGTTGAAATGATTCGGCGANAATAACTTTAGAATAAGACTTGTGGATATTTTTGAAAAATATATATTAGGTGCACTTCAATAAATAAATGTATTCATATTAATACTGTAAAGTGGGGAAATGCTTCAAATATCCGTTAACAAACACGTCAGCAATGAAAGAAAGCGTTTCTATTTCAGTTTTCATAGAATTAATGAAATTGTCACACTTAAAACGATTTAAAGTGGAAATGGTATACTAGCTGTATAATTAACTTTCTTTTGTTGTATAAGCAACACTCAATATTAATTTGATAATGTGAATATATATGTTAGGCCCGAAGACCGAAAACGCTCAGTGGCCGGAAAAAACGGCCAGAACGCGTTCTGGCTGTTTTTAAACGCTCGCAACGCGTTCTGGTAACTGTTAAACAGCCGGAACGCGTTTTGTCCATTGTTGTCGGGTATACAGTTAAAATTTAAGTGTGTGAGAATATGAAAGTGAGGTACCAGCGGACAAAATCTCCTTACGATNACCCTTGGAGTCTATTGAATGTCCGTAGAAGTCACGCGAATCTGTAGACATTTGGGCGTTATGGATTGTGTTGGTATCCACATAATCTTCGTCGACGTAATGGGTATTGGAGCTTGCACTGTCTCGTCTTATTTGGTTTTTTAATTTATTAGCGTCATCAACTTCTTTTATTTCAATAAGTGATGTGTTTTCATTGATGTTGCCTCTAGAACTTTTAGATGGTTTGGAGGGAGATGGACTTCCTTCTGGGCCTTTCTTGGGAGATACTTCCATGTCCTTATTTTTCGTTTGCGGAGGCGTCTCCGATACGAACTTACCATTCCATCCGGTTTTTCCATAGTTTCGCTCGTTTGAATATATAGTGTCGATTGAGTCGGCTACAGTATGTTGGGCCACCCTTCCTGATGTTCCTATTGTGTTTTGGGTCGCTTTGGTGTCGTAGACATTCTTCACCAACGTACCCTTGGAGTCTATTGAATGTCCGTAGAAGTCACGCGAATCTGTAGACATTTGGGCCTTATGGATTGTGTTGGTATCCACATAATCTTCGTCGACGTAATGGGTATTGGAGCTTGCACTGTCTCGTCTTATTTGGTTTTTGAATTTATTAACGTCATCAACTTCTTCTATTTCAATAAGTGATGTGTTTTCATTGATGCTCCCTCCAGAACTTTTAGATGGTTTGCAAGGAGATGGACTTCCTTCTGGGCCTTTCTTGGGAGATACTTCCATGTCCTTATTTTTCGTTTGCGGAGGCGTCTCCCGTACGAACTTACCATTCCATCCGGTTTTTCCATAGTTTCGCTCATTTGAATATATAGTGTCGATTGAGTCGGCTACAGTATGTTGGGCCACCCTTCCTGATGTTCCTATTGTGTTTTGGGTCGCTTTGGTGTCGTAGACATTCTTCACCAACGTACCCTTGGAGTCTATTGAATGTCCGTAGAAGTCACGTGAATCTGTCGACATTTGGGCCTTATGGATTGTGTTGGTATCCACATAATCTTCGTCGACGTAATGGGTAGTGGAGCCTGCATTTACATTTTGCTTTATTTGGCTTTCGGTTTTTCTCTGTTGCTTCCCGTTCTGGATTTTACTCTCTCGAGAATCAATTGTGGTAGTTAATTTGCCGTTTTGATCACTCAAATTTGATTTGATGTCACCAGTATCATTATTGTTATCGATATTTGTCAGTACTTTAATAGCATTGCCAGCGGAATCAAAACGCGTAGTCGTGGTGATTGTGTGTGAAGCAGTGTCATGATATTTTTTCGAATCCGTATATGCCTTAATATTACTAGAAGATGTCTGTTTTGGTGAAGACGAAGAAGAGTACGACTTGTTTTTGCGAGTTGACGATTTCTCTTGCGCTGATTGCTCCGGTACGAATTTTCCGTTCCAAGCAGAATCATTTACGTTGTAAGTTAAACGTAATTCTTCTTTCGGTTCGGATACAATATAAGTTGCATTGGAATCGTCGGAAACGCACGATGAATTGGTGGTAGACTTGTTCAGTGTCCTACCTAATTGCTTGATGTTAGAAGATTGACTTAACGCAACCTCTTGGGCAATGAAGTGGCGATATTCTTTTTTAGTAGCACCAGTAGTTATGTTAACCGCCATCGCAACAAAAAGAGCACTGTTTAATTACGTAAATAAATTATTATTATTATTAAAAATGATACTAGTCGGTACAATTAAGAACGAACAAACAAACAAAAGCAACAACTTGTACGCGTAGAACAGATCGTGCACTTTTTGAAAATGCGCGTTCAATGTTTGCCGAAAACTTCGTTGAACATTTTATTGTGGTGGTGGCAAACTACGTCACAGTGTTGATTCCGTAAATTGTTGAGCATATATGGAGTCTGCCGCTGGACCTGTCCACAGGTCGTAGCGATCTATCAATAGCGGGGAGAGCTTAGTTGATGCACCCACGGAGACGCTCACGCTTTTCTTCGTATAATGACTAACACGACAACTCTTAGTTGCAGTAAATATGAAACAATATGTACTTATTAAAAAACTTTCTATTTAAAAAATTAAGAGTTGCAGTTGTCTGAAAAAATGGAGTGACGTATCATCATCATATAAGCATGTCATTTATTAAAAAGTGTTTCAATGCTTGTTCATTTCATCTAATAATAACGATATAAGAATAAGAGATACTTACTGAACTGAGTACTTTTTGTAATAATCATTCAAAATAGCCGACATGAATAATACTTTTCGTAAACAAGTAAATTACTAATGCAAAACTGAGTTGGCTTGTTTTCTGCTGAAGGTTATTCATAATGCAAAATATAAATATAGCACAAAATAAACATTGTACAAACATGTAGTAACCCACAACTATAGTTTGTTCTTGTAGAAAATGTTACTTTGGATAGACTGGAAAAGCCATTTAAAAATAGGAAATTCTAATTAAGTATGTAAATTGTATACTTATAGCAATTCGGATATAGATAGTATACAGTGTTTGCGTATGTGACAGGTGCACTTACTATAATGTTTACAATTAAAAATTAAAGGTCTTAATATTTTTCGTTCTCTAAAAAATAGTGAGGACGTGACTAACACAACCATTTTTGTGAAATTTTTGCGAGAAGTAGTTGACTTTCTGATAAGAAAACACGACCTCTCTAGAAAAAACTAGTTTTTAACATTCTTCTTCGTTCAATTCAAAAATAAAATTAACAAATATATTTAATTAAATTTCAAGTCATTTATTGTCCGTCTCTTAATTTTCGCGA